TAGAATTGAAGTCTTTCACACAGCATTCATTGTTCTCAGCTCTCCTAGTGATTTATGAAGATGTGCTGCTCTCTGTGTTTGCCATATAAATGAACCTCAAAATAATCATGAACTCTTATATTTTTGATAATTTTGCTATAATATGTTGTCAACCCTGTTCGCATCAATCAAAAATGACCAGATGTTCTTTTTCATTTAAATTAAACGATTGTACTATATTTTTGTTCGATATTATTTTTTGATTTCATATTTTGTATTCTTTGGGGATTTACCAAATTATATTGAGCATGGACCTGAAAACGAAATTTCCAAATGAAACTCTTATAAATCTTGAATGCTTTGGATCACAGATTTAAGTTTGGTCTCTTTTCTTAAAGACGACTCTTGGAAGATTATTGCAGAAGTGAAAAACGTTTTAAAAAGTGAACTTGCAATAAAAATAAAATAAAAAAAGTGAACTTGAAAAAAAGTTATACTATTGTACATTCATTGTTTTGAAAAATGCACAAAATACCATTTTCAATTTTTTTTATGAAATATATATATTTTTTTACTTAGAAAATCAAAGCCATATATCTAAACAAGTTGTGTTCCAAATTTGAGGTTGATGTCTCAATAAATGAGCTTTCAGTAAGATTTTGTTTGGGCTCAGTATCAGAAAGTTTTATTAATTTCCAATTAATTTCCAATTTTTGACCACGAACAATACATTACAATGCTATTTTATTCAGGACCATTTAACCTTTTGGAATCATGTCCATGATTGTGTGTGCGTGCGTGCGTGTGTGTGTGTGTGTTCATATAGCAAGTGCCAAAACCTTTACCAAATTTCGTACCATTACGATGAAGTAAAAAACATTTTTATATATATATTTTTCCACATTTTGGCAGAGTTGTGTATTTTTATTGCAATTAATTCCCTTTAATAAATTTATTTTACACTAGTAACACAAATTAGTTGAACCCATGACCTTAAGGATAAAAATGTCCCCATTTAAACCCATTAAAACCACAATTTCCAATCAAGGACCATTTAACTATAAAATTATGCAGCTTTGTTAATAGGCTGTCATTCTGTTGGCAGAATTAAAATTTTGACAATTTTTTACCAGATTGCGGCCTTTCCTCAGGTTCGGCCTATAAAGCAAAGACTCACTTTTTCTGTGTTCTGCCTCTTATAGAGCCATTTGAATAAATAATGCAGCTATTATTGTGTACATGTGTTGGTGTGGATGTCAGAGTGTGGTTTGTATGTGTGCACAATTGTGCGCATGTAATATTTGAGAGAGAAAAAATTCTACTGTACTGAAAATCACAAATCCCACCACAGTCTATACCACTGAGCCCAAATGAAATCTTACTGAAAGCTCTTCTTTTTTTATTATATCAATCTCAAATTTGGAACACAACTTATTTAGATGTATGTCTTTGATTTTCTAGAAAATGTTGACCTCTAAGGACATCAGAGTAACTTTTTTAAATTGACGCACAAGATATAAGGAGTTGCTCATCTTTGTATTATAGTGAAGAAAGCAAGAAACAATAAATGAGGTGCATTTGCAGATGTTTGAATCTCAGCTGTGGTTTTGCTTGGAGAATGATTCTGTTCGAGCAAGTCTTGGGAGATTATGTACAAAAGGGAAACCAAGGCCATGTTTCCTACTTCACTGTAATATGATTGGCTTAATCAGTGGAAATATTCTAGCATGAATTCATTTTCTATCCTTTGAGTTTCGTATTCCCTCTAGGCCTGGAATGTTCACATTGTGGCTCTGTTCTGTTTCAGACTGGTAGTTGCCAGGGAAACCCGCAAATAAAATTTCAAGAGATCATTGGACCACTAATCTAGATCAGGTGTTCTACCCAGTCTGTAATCCACAAAGCACTCCACCCAGGAGACTCCCAGGCAGATCGTGATGTTAATTAGACGCTCGGTGCCACTAGATCTACCCATTAATGCAGCATGGATCTCTGCTTCCAAAAACTATCCCTTTGTGTTGAAGGACAAGCATTGTGGAGCATGAAACTATAATGTTCTGGCATTAGTGTATGTAAATCCGTTTATGCTACAAAAATGTGAAACAAATGCGGTTGGATGGTGTTATTTGGCTACACCAGTGACAAACTGTTTTTAGCTCATTATCACCAAACCTTTAAAGGGATAGGTCACCCAAAAAAGAACATTTTTAAGTTGTTCCAAACCTGTATGACTTACTTTCTTCTGCTGACACAAAAGAAGCTGTTAGCTTGTTTCCGTCCACAGAATAAAACAATTTAAAAGATAACTGCGACTGTTTATCTGCACAATTCTGACTTTTTTTTCGCGAGTTATAAATTGATTGTAATTGCAATGTAAAATAGATTGTAATCTCAATGTGATTTTATTCCCTGGTAAAATAAAGGTAAAATATATATATTTTTTTTAAATTCCAATTCTGAGGGGGGAAAAAGACTGATTTTTTTCCCTCAGAATTGCGAGTTTATAGATCTCACAATTATGACTTTAGCCTATAACTCGCAATTGCGATACGCAATTCTAAGAAAAAAAGTCAGAATTGTGAGATAAAAAGTCGCAAGGGAGTGCGTGCGTAATGCGCAGCCTATTACACGCCATAAAGTGCGTATCATATATGCACGCGAAAGCTGCATAGGCCTATCATATACACGCAAAAACTATTTTTGGCGTATAAATGGCACGAGAAATAACATTCGTTGTATAGATACGCACTTTCATGAGATCGGCACAAGCTTCTATAATTTTGAAGAAAATGGGTAACCAAACAGTTGATAAGCCCATTGACTTCCATAGGGAAAAGAAATATAAAAATATGGAAGTCAATCGGGCCCATCATCTGTTTGGTTACAGCCATTCTTCAAAATATCTTCTTTTGTGTTCAGCAGAAGAAAGAAATTAATACAGATTCGGAACAACATGGTGAGACGAGTAAATGATGACACAATTTTCATTTTTGGGTGAACTATCCCTTTAAGTGACGGAAAGTGGCCGATACTACAACAACAAACTTCATCACAAAGAAAGTTTTACAAGCTGTGCAAGCCAAAGTACCATGTTAAAGATGTGATAAACCATCAGCACAAAAAGTTATATTGCATCTATACCTTGTGCCTTCATTGTATTTACCTTGGGCCTTATCACTAGGCACGTGCATTGACTGACTGTTATCAGATTAACATGATGCGTCTCATAGGGTTAAGGAGCTAATCTGTTTATCAGTGTTGTCGTCATGACTACTGCTATGTTTTATATATGCGATGGAATATAGTTTAACATTCACTTCCATTTAATGTAAGCCTATCAAAATATCATGGTTATACCATCTGATCTTGGACATATTGCATGATAATAGTTTGCTTGTACACACCAATATGATTTCTGCTTTCGACTCAGCTATTTAATTGAAGTTATCGATAGTATGACACTAGAACTCGCAGCATTAATTTACCCTGCGAACATAATTCTCTCTTCCCCTGTTTAATAAGAAGAGATCCGAGCTGTGCCAGACAGAGTGACGTTCACGATCCCCGGGAACGCGCGTCACTCCTGTTCTTGTTCTTTTCCATAATGCTCATCATCAGATCAGATGGCAGAGAAGTAGCCTATAGAGAAACTCACAAGACAATCAATGACAGGTAACATATGCAGGCATAAAGCATTAGGTGTAATACAAATATTTACTATTTGGGTGTATCATAGTCTGTGATTTAATATTATTATTGTTGTTACAATAAGTAGGCTTAGGCAACATGAATTCCGTAATTTACGCCAATAAAAGTAGCCTCGCAGCCTACTCGTGTATTGTTGTAGCGTTGGTTAGGATCTATAGCCTACTAATAGAAAAGATTATGGGTATTTCCTGTGCACCAATGTTCATCCGTCCTCTTTACTCAACTCGGAATAAATAAACTCATTGTGAAACGAATTGTTACTGCAGTGAAGTGTTTATTTCCACTTTTTCCTGTTTATCATGGTATGCGTTATGCTAAAAAAAAATCAAGCTAAAAAGCAATAGGCCTGCTATTGGTAATAATTATTGGTATACTATAGTAAAATGAGTATACTTATATCCACAAAATTATATTTCTAAAAATGTAATAGCCTACATTTTATATCTACGATACCTAAAGAAAATAAACTGGACCCACTTTGAATCGAACTCAACTAAAAAAGTGTTCAATTGATAATTCCCCTCCCCCAATACACTTTATTGTACCACTGGCGACATCTATCTGTTCTTTGGGCAATAATGATGAGTTTTATTTCATCTGGAGAGAAATTGAGTCTGAAGAGCCTTTGTGATAAATGGGTTGAAAAACAGTTATGATGCAACAAAGATTTGTTATCAAGGAAAACATAAAAAAAATATTGAATTAATTAAAGAATCTGTATTTCGAACTGCCAAAAAAAAAAAAAAAAAAAAGAGAAAGAAAAAAAACTCCACATGAAGCAATTGCACAAACATGCTCGCACTTTAGAAAGCGCACAGCCTATGGTTCAGAGAGCAACATCCGGCCACTTTCTGAAACCACGAGCACCTCTCCACGCTCTCGCCGTGTTCCGTGCTCGTAGGAGCCGAATACATGTGTCCACAGACCACCCAGTGAAAGTTAAAGGTGGGGAAAGAGGGGAGGGAATCCCTGACGCGTCTTTACCGTGCCTTTACCAAGGAAACCCATGCGCGTGTGCTCTGACGCAACTGCCCATTTTTGGAAACATGCGTCAATGGTCGAAACCAACTGTGGAATGGGGGTGGCCGCTTCAAGCAAAAAAGTTTAAAACAAATTAAAACACCTCAAACTATTTCTCCTTTGCAGAATATAATTTCTTATCGAACATTTAAGCCCTAATATTTCATAAGATCGTCAGGGAATATAACGTCTGACATAATGACCCAAAATGTACATTATGAAACCCCCATTTTGCTTTGTGGCTTAACAAGGCTGTGACGCGTAGACGCAGGTTGGCGTTGATAAGCGGAGCATCGGAGTAGAGTAGAGCCATTGAAGTGAGTCATCTAACGACCGACGGGACCTGTAGAAGTAGCACTGAAGTTCACCTAGTCGCCAAAATCAGTTCAACAAAGTCCAGAGCGGTACACTCATCCCTGCGTTGAGTCACTGCTGTGGGGACAGGACTAAACCTGCAAGAGTTTACTGAAGAAAAGTAGGTGCTTCACAGATTTTTCATTTTCCATCTGGTTCTAGCAGAACATCTCAGTAGCGATGATTATTACACATTAGTTTTACACGGGAACATCAATTTATTGGACTATTAAAGAGACTACAGAATTTGAGATCGCTGACTTCTAATCGGCTAATAGAATATTATGCCTGGATTTATCATACCGAGCATTAAAGTAGCCTATCTTGGATATCATTTTTAGATCAGGTGTAAAGGAATCGCTTCGCTTGGAAGTGCTTTTTGTGCCACTGAAGACACTGACCGTGTGGGAATTGATTACCAAGCTTCTGAAATTTCCTCCAGTTTCCCTGGATCATGTACCAGGATTACACCGGGACATACGACACGTCCTCCCGCGGCAGCAGCAGCTCACCGGCGCACCCGGACACCAGCCCCATCCCCGCCTCCAGCTACCAGGTGCCCGAGTCTCCGTCTCCACACACACCTCACATCAACGGGTTTACATTAACAGGCCTACCGTGTTATTATCATTAATAATCCCAAACTAACCCACTCTAAAATACTGGGTTGTTTCAATCATTGGTTTAATTTTCTTACGGTTGGGTACATCCACATTTGACCCAAACATGGGTTGAAACAACATAGCATTTTTTTTAACTTATAGCTTATCTTCTTTACATACAGTGCTCACACTATTACACACACTTCATGTTATTGCAGTAAACATCTAGCAGTGTGTAATTACAAGCAGCGCCGCAAAATAATAACACATCAGCGCAGATTAAAGTCATGCATAAACTGCGATGTTAAATGAGACCAAACTTTTTATAAATCGAGGACTTCCAGGTTGTCGTTTTCATCATGCAGTGGCCTTGTGTGCATGTTTTGAACAGCAATTCAAGTGTTGTGCATAAAAACCGGACATTCGGTTATTGCATGTCGGGCTATGCGCCCTATAAGCAGCCTATAAAAGTATATGCTACCTGTGTGTGTGTGTCACGTTTTTATTGCTGTGTTTTAAAATCATATCTGATCATTATTTTGAAAAGAAAGTGCATGGAGGACACATACGCATCTACGCGCAAAACGCGTAAAACCCTCTCAGGAATCCGTCTCGCTCTCTTGATAAATGATTCCCAGAAGAGATTTATTTTTGCTTCCTGCAATCTATCGTTTTGGAAAGATAGCGCACATGTTGGCACTCATAACATTATGTTTCCGTGGAATTAGGCAGATAAGGGCAGCAGTGGCGTGGGTGGCGTGCGTAATATGAAATAAACCCACGGAGAGTCAGTGCGCGCGCAGTGGCCGCAGAATGCCACACTTCCGGGACTTCCACACAGCGATTGCACTTCACTAACCTTCAGAACATGTGCAGTTGTCATGTAGTTTATCTGAAAATACCTTTCATTTATCCGTAGTTGAACTGTAAAGTTTAGGATGGAGAAAAGAAAGCCAATTCGGATTTCGAGTACATGGTAAAAGTAAAAAATTAGACAAGAGTTGACAAATATGGTGAATTAAATGCAATGGCAGGAGACTAAGGGTTGCGCATTAGGATCTCTCTGTTTGATTACTTTACTAGTAATTATACTTCAATAAATCCATGTTTTTATGGAATTCATGCGACTTTCTGCATGGACAAAAAAACCTCACTGACTCGCAAATTGGTCCATGTTGAAAGAAAGTAGTAAAAAAAAGCTTTATCACACTTTATTTAAAGCTTGTATGATACTCAATTGTATCCTTATGTCATGCAACTCACTTTATAATCATTTTTATGTAGATAATGTTAATCACAGTTGTTGTTGTTATTATAATAATTAGCTACATGTTTATGGTTACAGCTACTGTTAGATTAATTCGACTATCTAAAGCCTCGATGAGTATTGCGAGTTAATGCAAGAGTGTTGCATTAAAATGGATTATGTTTCCAGTGAAGTGCATCTCTTCTTCGTGAAGTGTTTTAGGGAACTTTCCCCCGATCTGGTTCTCCTCAGTGAATGAATAAGAGCTTGTGTACCGGGTCAGTTTGGCAGCTTGTTCCCCAGACGCTGGTATTTTAATCACATCTGGAAGGTTTAACTGCTCCTGTCAGAAATTCCCGAGCATCATCTTGTCTTGTAGGGTTGCTGTTTAAACTCGTGGAATAAACTGCCTCCTTGCGATCCCAGCATGTGTAGTTTGGACTCCTTCGGGGAAAACCAAGAGCAAGGGATTCGGGTGCATTTCAAGATAAGATAAAGCGCTACTTCTCAACACAACAGCGATGATTCAACGTGTTTATGTGGGTCTTCCCGGTCCTTCGTCATGGATGAAATGGGAAACAAACGCGCCAGTTCCTGGTAGTTAGTGGACTCTTTCGCAATATGCTGTGGAAAACGATTATCTACTACTGTGTTAAAGCAACACTACAGCTTCAGTGGAAAATACTACTTAACGAACACTGACTTTCAAATAAAATAATGCTTTTTTTTTCATTCACGTAATGTTCGCTGTTTTTTCCCGTAATTCATTCGCCTCCAAATGATTTGCGGTAAACTCTGTCTGTAACATGAAGTCAGTTTCCCGTTAAAATCCCACCAGAAATGTGTGAATGGAATGGAATGTGGAGGATGGAATGTGCTGGCACCAGATCCCAGGTCAGCTTCCCGGCTGAGTGGAACATAGAGCAGTCTCATAACCTGATTCAGCATTTGCCAGACTACACATGCAAAAATCATATCATTCAGGCGTATTTTCCAACGAATTTTTGGGCAATGCTTGCTTGTAAGTCATTCACTATCACTGTAATATTTTACATAGCCTATCAGAAATTCAAATATTCCCCAAAATGACTAGCCTTACAAAGTTTAATGATGTTAAACATTCTAACTTTATTTAAAACTGAGCATTCATTGGTATTAGTAATGGTAATTCATGTTAATTAGCCATTCAAATAGTTGTCAATGTATTATGTTAATGTTAAAGTATCAAGTACAGAGTAATATTAAGTAACTACATGTGAGCTATATGGTTAGGGCTTCATTTGGTTTAGGGTTAGTTGCATGTAATTATGCATAATAGTTAATATGTAACAATGACACTAAAATAAAGTGTTACCAATATGTAATAATTGTATTCAGTAGGTAAATAGAAAATAATTACACAAAAGAGTAAAAAAACTGCCTCTTATTGAAATTGCTGCCTATGATTGGATTATTGCATATAAATCTGTTCATCCAACAGCAAGAAAACAGTGGGAATTGAAGTTAAGGCAAATTTAAGTTTACTACTGAGGTTTTATTAAACCTAATCTAATATTAGCAAATTTTTAATTTCTAAGTTTACAGACAACCTCAAAAGTTAAAAGACTGTTGGCATTAAATACATGCAATAACAACAACAAAACAGTTCAGCATTTTATTTAGACTGTCTTATTAATGATTTGTTCTTCTTAGAGGTCATATGCACTTCTTATAAGAGGTTTGTTTCTTGAAAAACACAAATCTGTTGAAAGCCCACAGCGGTGATACTGTGGCACATTGCATCACCGCGGCTACTATCTAAGCCTGGTGTGCTTCTGTCAGGGAGGGTTGTGGGCTTTCCCATGATTCACCGTGAGTGTGTCACCCTGTCGCTCTGGGGGTCAAGCAGTCAAGAGGGCGCAGAGCGAGGCAGCACGCGGCGTGATTCATTAGTCTGTGATGATGGGAATTTGTAAAATGGCTATACAGTGGGTGGCTAGGGGGACTGCAGTAACAAAGACCAAAAATGAATCACACAGTGTGTTTAATGTACGGTGAAAGTCAGAGTCTTCTTAATCCAGAGTTTCTTCATAAATGTTTGCACTTCAATTGTGACATCGCCATAAAAGAAGAACGGCTTAATCCTAATGCTTTTCTTTCTTCTCCACAGAAGTACAGAGTAGACATGCCTGGTTCTAGCAGTGCCTTTATCCCAACGATTAATGCCATAACCACCAGTCAGGACCTGCAGTGGATGGTTCAGCCCACAGTGATCACATCCATGTCTAACCCGTACTCTCGGCCTCACCCGTACGGCCTGTCTGTGTCCAGCGGCCCGAATCTCCTCGGACACACGGCTCTCACGCGGCCCGGGGTCATCCGCTCCATCGGTGACGCTCGAGGTCGACGCAAGCGAGATGAGCAGGTTAGCCTTTAACGTATAGTACAAAAACACTTTGCAATAAGGTTCATTAGTTAATGCGTTAACTAACATGAACTAACAATGAGCAATACATTTGTTACAGTAATGTTAGTAGTTAATAAAAATACAACTGTTCATTGTTTGTTCATGTTAGTTCACGGTGCATTAACTAATGCTAACAAAACAACCTTTGATTTTAATGACGTATTAGTTTGTTGAAATGAATTAACTAAGATTTATAAAAGCTGAAAAGTAGTATTGTTCATGTTAACTAAGGTAACTAATGTTAACCAATGAACTTTATTGCAAAGCGTTACCAACACTTTTTTAACATCTATTGAATCATTGAATAATGACACTGTTGTCTTTTTGGAGCTGCTTTACAGCTAAAATGTTGTTTGTTTCATCATTTTTGCAACATTAATATGTTGTTATATTACTGTGCAGCTGCTTTGAAACAATCTTTATGGTGAATTCAGGTCGATTAGGAGAGTTTTTCCAAGTCATCTTAATGGCAAAAAGTGTCCCAATCACCCTGACTTCAAGCGCTTTATATAAACGAATGACTTTTTATCTGAGATGCAAGGATTGATTTTTTCACATCACAACGATTTCTGACAAACAACTGGGAAATCTCACTCCTAGTTCTATCTGCAGCTCACCCCCGAGGAAGAAGAAAAACGGAGAGTCAGGCGAGAAAGAAACAAACTAGCTGCGGCAAAATGTCGGAACCGCAGAAGAGAACTGACCGATATGCTGCAAGGGGTGAGCTTTCTAATGCCTTTACAAACACACACGCATTTTATAACATTACTAGCACAATGGGAAACATGTTTACCAAATACCCCAAATGAAATGCCCACAAATATTGTACTTATTTCCATGCAATTCTCAGTGGTTTAGACACCCTATAAGAAGACGACCACAGAAGACCAGTGTTGTCTGGCAGGCTTGGGAATGCCCCGAGTCCCAGACAATGCTGGCTGTAATTGAACTACATAGCTTTCTAATGGCATCTCTCAGGCTGTCAGACCTGAAACATGAGGGAAGAATGTGCTACAGGGGGTTGGAGGGAAGCAAACATCTGATATTGTTGGAGGAGGAAACCGCAGCTAACCATCAAACCCCACTCACTGCTATCTTCCCTTCCCCCACTCTCCTCATTCCTCACCAAATAAGGAACTGTATCTCCTGTGACAATAACTAGAGCCTTTCTTCTAATGAGTTTCTTTCTTTGCAAATTTAGCATTTGCTTTCATTTTGGTTTCCTTCTTCCTCATAGCCAAATTAATGAGGCTTATCTTTGACAGTTTAGTCACATCAGTCTTTGAACTTTCTGGAGGTTTGGACGGTTGTTTCGAAACACTTGGTTTTGTGTCAAGAGTTCCGTGTAACAAAGGAATGTGAACAGCTTCAATTTATTTGGGAAATACATGCTTGTGTTTATAGGTGGGCGTTCCTTTAATAGTGCTAAAGTGTTCTGAGAGTTCAATCTGGAAAACGTTTGCGTTTTTCATAATTACACTAAGCCATAACAGGGTTGCCATGTCTGCATCAGAAAACTAGCCAAATGACCAATCAATGAATATTACAACTCAAAATATGCCATTCACATAGCTAAAATACATATTTTACAGTCACTTTTATGCAAAATGAAAACCACTATTATCGTAGTGATCACAAAACTTAACATCTAGCACAGTTTTATCATTTGTAGAATATAAAATATGTCAATAATTCCAATATGTCAAACCTTTAAAGGGATAGTTCACCCAAAAATGAAAATTCTGTCATCATTTACTCACCCTCTTGTCGTTCCAAACCCGATAGACTTTTGTCCATCTTTGAAACACTAATGAAGATTTTTTTTTTTTGATAGAATCTAAGAGCTTTCTGTCCCTCCATTGACAGCTTTGCAAATACCACTTTGACGCTTCAAAAAGTAACCCAATTATGCAGGAAAACCACATACTTGGCAACCCTGGTATAGACCTGAATATCATATAGACATTTGGGGAAGGGGTCTTTTGACTAGGGTTAGAAACCACCAAGAGCACCACTACATTAAAAACACCCTGCTGACAAAAGAATATCAGGCAAGATGCAGCATAATCATTCTTTGGATTTCTTTTTTTCATTCAAGGAAACCGAGAAGTTGGAGGAGGAGAAGGCTGACCTGCAGAAAGAAATCGAGACCCTGCAGAAGGAAAAGGACAAGTTGGAATTTATGTTGGTGGCGCACAACCCTGTGTGCAAACTTCCCCTCGAAGAACGCCATCAAAACCTGCACTCCCAGCAGTGTGCGCCCCTTCCTCTGACCATGCGCTCCAACCTGGGGCCCCGGGGCCCGATGCACGCTCTCAACCCAGTGGTGGTCAAACAGGAGCCTTTGGAAGATGACGACGACGATGAGGATGAAGCAAAAACCCAGCACTCAGTCATCAAGCCCATCTGTCTAGGTGGAGGCATGTATTGCTCTGACGGAGACAGTCTGAACACTCCTGTAGTGGCCGCTTCTACCCCGGTGTCCACCCCGAACCACCCCAGCCTCATCTTCACGTACCCCAGCATGCTGGAGCCCGAGAGCCCATCGCCCTCGTCCGAGTCCTGCTCCAAAGCCCACCGGCGGAGCAGCAGCAGCGGCGACCAGTCCTCAGATTCCCTCAACTCTCCCACCCTGCTGGCGCTGTGAAGGAGAACTGGACTTTCCTCGTTCCCGTGGATCTCCAGAGCGCGCTCAGCTGGGGTTTGACTGGGACTTCACCTCAACCTAGCTGAGAACCCTCAAGGGCTAATCTGCTCGTTTTATTTAAACGTTTCAGAAGAGAGTTTTTGTTGTCGTCGTTTAAATGTACGTGCGAATTCCACTTGCTATTTTCGTGGTGAGGTTTTGTAACGAAGAGGAAAAGAGCGGAGGTCAGAAGACCTTGATATGTCCTGACTAATAAGAGAGGGGGGATTGCTTGAAAATCGCATTCTTGATAGGTACAGAATCCGACATTGGACACTACGCCCTCAAAACGTCATTCTCCTTGTATTTGTGACGTGTGAATATTGTCGCATTGTGTTTCGTCTCTTGCTGTTTATAATATTTAGGGTTCACTGGATGAGCCTGACTGCTGAGTGTCGAAAGAACCATCTTGTATAATAAAATGCTGACCTTTGTTGATATTTTGTATATGCGGCACAAGCACTAAGATGATTTGCCAAATTTACATAGCTTTTGTTATGTAAAGTACACAGAAAGAAAAAAAAAACACTTTATAGCATCAGCGAATCTACTGTCAGGGATTTTTGTCTGTGTCAGTGAGCCATACAAGCATTACTAGAAGCAATTGCACACAGAATATAACGGTGTACATGAGGGAAACTCCAGCCATATTAGGCTCCGCCTCTAACCCTGACATGGCAATACCGCTTTTGTATTGGCGCACACTGTGGTTTTCAAATAATAAAAAAGAAAGGAGCAGACTATGTATTACTTTTATAATATGTACTTTTATGTCTCGACTGGCCCTTTTTTCAGGGTACGGTTCAAACCGAATCAGTGATATATCAGCCACATGAGCACTTCTCCCTGAAACACTGGCCGCACTTGAGAACAGATGCACTTTGTCAGCAACGTTACAATCGAATAAGACGCCATTCCTTACAGTGATGGAGTAAACAGGGAATGCAGAATGATATTGAAAGTTCGATGCGAAAGGTGTTATGCATCAGACGCTGAAGATAAGATACAAATTGCAATATTTTTTGAAAAACATTGGTTGGAAAAAGGAGCGATCTCGAGGTTACCGTTGCCTCAGTCAATGGGAGTCTTTTGTTGTACAGTACGCAGCAAACGGAAACAAAACAAATGTGGCTTCTATTTGAAGGACTTTGTTGCTTATTTATGTCAGGAACTTTCAAGGATCTAAGAGACGAGTTGAGTGTTTGTTAAATCGAGTATGAGAGATTCTAGTTGCAAAAACCAATTGAATACCAAAAGAAAAAGACAAAAAAGAAAGATGTTTATGGACAGTGTGCTGTAAACTGTTTTCTGTCGGTCTTTGAACCCTGTGTATTTTTGAGCAAGCCATCTGTACAGCTTTCTGCACATGTCCTGCTTATCGGTCTGTATTTTCTCTCTTTTTTATTGCTTTAACTGTTGAAAGACAGAAAACAACCGACAAAAACAGCAATATGTAAAGCAGTGTTTGTTTCTTTGGTAATTTAAGTTTATTATAATGATAATAAAAACATTTCCAAAGTGGTATTTTTTGGATAGTCGTATTTTGCTTGTGCATTTATTTATTTGTGCACGGTGTTTTGGGTTTGTTGGATATCTCATTGTTGCAGTGTGGTGCTTCTGTGTTCAACCAATCACAAGATGGTTGAATGAACCTGCTTTATGCATCAGTTATTCATTCATCTCTCATTTCTGCACATAATCAAAGATGCAGATTTATTCATCCTAACTTTGATAGACAGTTTCGCTTGATCCATTGCAGTAAATGATGTTAATTACAATATAAGACATCAATAATGTTTGTTTTGATAAATATATAAAAGCATTATTTCATAAATGGGGATGAAGAAGTAAAGGAAACATGAAGCATGTACATTCAGTATATGTACAGTTTTAAACTTCCTGTTCATAGGTCACCGATGCTTTTTGCTGTAGGTCTGGTTATCAAGATTTAGCAAGCTGCACTTTATGTAAAATAAATAAATAAACGTGTATGTTAGGATACTAATTTGGGGGTTTAATTTCACTTGAAGAGTCACTCTATACACATACATTTCAAATGTCCAGACAGATGGTTTGGTTTAAGGTGCATTCATTATCTTGCATTATTATTATGAATGGATGACACATTGTCTCATTTCACCTGATCAAGTTTTGTATTGATTATGTACGAGGTTGAAAGTGATTTGCCAAGTTTGAGATTTTGGTAAGAGTTGAGTCCATTTAAAAACATTGATGGCTGTTTTGCAGTTGTGTGTTGAGCTTTAGGCCAAATTCAAGTGTATGTGTGGAAATCTTTTATTTTGAAATAAATATATCTGTTTACATCGGAGATGTGTATTCTGTGTACAGAATTATTGCACATTATAAACTATTATGATAAACAATTGTGATAAATTTTTTTTTTTTCTCATTTCAGATATATCGCTTTAAGAATTACGCTTTTTCAAATAATTCTCAGCTCCATGACTCACTGCTAAAATTACTTGAACACTTGAAAATAACAAAATAAAATAGTTTACTGATAGATAGATAGATAGATAGATAGATAGATAGATAGATAGATGAGATGATGATGAGATTCAATTTTGACATATTCACACAGCAATAATTAATGTTTTGGGGTAGTCAATAATTCATTCAAGACATGTTGTGCTTGTCAGGAAATCATAAACTAATAATATTTAAACAGTCCCATTCCAAGGGATTGCAAGCACTTTGGTTGTGTTTAATCATTCAAGATAAAATAAAATGCTCTTACAAGACTAATGTATTTAGCGTGATAGCCCTATGTTGAACTGTGTGATATACTAGTTGATTTCAACACTGGAATATTGCAGTGTTTCCAGTATATGCTGGTTTGAGCAACAATTACTTTAGAAAGTGCTAATTCTATGGTAAGACTGAAATGATGTGGTAAAACAACAAAAATAAGTTACTTAATGTAAGTCAAGGACGGCTATACCAGTGATCTGAGTTCTGAATTGTATGTATTTTAAATATAAAATACTGATAGGCCTAGTCTAATGTCGGTTTTAGGAAAATCCAGTACTCCCTCATGCAGTGCTCATAACATTTATATATTATTGGCCATATATACAGTATATTGGCCTATATTGCACTAAAGGGCAACAAAATGGTAGTATTTGAAATGTATTAACAGTCATCAGGCAAAAATGCCACACTACACAATGGAGTTATACTGCTACTTAGTGGTTAAAGAGTGATACTGATACATATATGTTTATGACATTATTAAAAAATTTTCTATGTTTAACATTGCTGTTTAAAATCAATACATTTCAGTTTTTAAAGGTAGGCCTATATTCAAATGCAATTATACTACATTTATTATAAACATATTAGGAATGGTTCTTTTGAAATATGAGAGCTTACTGAATATTTGGATTAAACATGTTATTAAATAACATGACAATGTGTGAGCTGTTGTGCAGTCGGGGGCATTTCTTCAGTAGATGTAGTCAGTGGGTAAAGCGTGCTGGAGATGTTTCAGGGTCTAACTCTTCCGGTTCACTGTCTTAGATAAAGGTAGGGTACGAAATGTTTTTCATAAGCACTTTTTGTTATAGGTCTACTGTTTTAAACTCAATAACGCAATCAATAATAAAAGTGTTAAATATTAAAAAAATTAACAAATAAAGCCTATACAACAGGCTTTTGAGAAATGTTTATTTGTTCATCTCATCATTGTATTGGATTGGATTATATGTTTATAAAGAGCTAATAAAGAGATTTATGCATTTTAAAGAGCTTTATAAATTGTATTACATACTGCATTATACACATTAATCAATATACCGCTTTAATAAATAAAAAACTAAGAGTTTACATTTGATCTTCCTAAGATATGTTATTAAAGGGACAGTTCACCCAAAAATGTAAACTCTGTCAGTAATTACTCGCCCTCATGTTGTTCAACCCCGTAAGACTTTCGTTCATCTTCGGAACACAAATTAAGATATTTTTGATTAAATCTGAGAGCTGTCTCACTCCTCCATAGGCTTCTATGTTATTGAAACTTGCCGGCCCAAAAGTTAGTAAAGACATTGTTAAAATAGTGCGAGTGACGACAGTGGCTCAACCTTAAGTTTATCAAGCGACGAGAATACTTTTTGTGCACAAAAAACAAACAAAAATAACGACTTTATTCAACTAATCATTTCCTTCTCTGTCGGCCTCGCAAGTTTTCTGGGCCGACCAGATTCAATCCCCTAGGAGCCTATGGAGGAGTGATCCAGCTCTCAGATTTAATAAAAAATATCTTCATTTGTGTCCTGAAGATGAACGAAAGTCTTACGGGGTTTAAAAAAAACTGAGGGTAAGTAATTACTGACAGAGTTTTCATTTTTGGGTGAACTATCCCTTTAAGATCTCATTGATTTACATTACAAGCTATCAAAAGTTCATCTGTTTTGGTCATATCAGCAACTGCACTAAACGCATATTTTTGCTCCGTTTGAGCCTCTGAATAAAACAGGTGTTTTTGTCCTCCTCGAGTGTGAACTACATATCTCATATCAGTGGTTCCCAACCTTTTCCAATTCATGGCCCACACAACCAAACACGTTGGCTGAGTTTCTGCGGCCCACTGCAAGAATTTTACAGAGCCGACTATTTGTGTCGCGTTGGTAGATAAACAGAGTCTTTATTGAATAAACTGGCAATAAACAGAAAATGCAGCTCATGGGTTACCGAGCCCAGGCCCGGCTCCAGAAGCACGGTTGCTCTAACCTTAAGTTTATCAAGCGACGAGAATCCTTTTTGTGCGCAGAAAAACACAAAAATAACGACTTTATTCAACTATTAATTTTCTTCTGTGTGGGCCTCTGAGTGAGTTCAGGTAGTGTAACTGTGCAGCGCTTGGGCTGTACGTCAGAACGTCTCACTATTGGCCAGCATCACACACATGACCAGCGTCGGCCAATAGGAAGCCTACAAGTGACGTACAACCCAGAAGCTGTTACACTACGTGAACTATCTCGAGGCCCACAGAGAAGGAAATAAATAGTTGAATTAGTTATTTTGGTGTTTTTTTGCACACAAAAAGTATTCTCGTCGCTTGATAAACTTAAGGTTGAGCCACTGTAGTCACTCTGACTATTTTAACGATGTCTTTACTAACTTTTCTGGGATGGCAGATATCGATTACCTAGAAGCCTGTGGAGGAGTGATCCAGCTCTCAGATTTCATTAAAAATATCTTAATTTGTGTTCCGAAGATGAACGAAAGTCTTACGGGGTTGGAACATCATTTTTTGGGTGAACTAACTCTTTAATGCACATATCCTATCAGACTTTTGTCCCATTTTCGCTATAGTCATTTCAAGAGTATGTTCTGCATTTGCAGTGTGCAGATTTTAATCAATGAAGCTGTCTACACTGTACAATAAATCTCTTCACATCGAAGTCTACACTTTTTTTGGTAAAATGACAGGGATTCACGAGCTTGCAGAACTCAGCACTGATCAAAACCCCTGGCGTTATGAGCGTGAGTGGATTCTGACAAACTTAAACACCTCTGATTGGCCATCGCGTTCAAGAAATCAACAGATATGTCAGCGATCGGCTACATTGCTCAACACAGCAAAAGAGTCAAGAGACTCAGGCACATGACACGTGAAGACTAGCACTAGGTCAGTACTGTATTTTCTTCGTTTAGCTTTGTTATTAGTCTTTTTGTCCGGTATTGTTGAAGATTTACTACCCTATTGATAACCATTTATCCTTGTTTGAAGGGATAGGCCACCCAAAAATGTTTGTTTTTTACATCATTTACTGACCCTCGAGTTGTTCCAAACCTGTATGAGTTTCTTTCTTTCTAAAAGAAGATATTTTGAAGAATGTCTTTATCCAAACAGTTTAATGGACTCCACTGTAGAAATAATACTATAGAAATCAATGGGTGCTGTCCACCGCCTGGTTACCAACATTCTCCAAAATATCTTCTTTTGTGTTCAACAGAAGAAAGAAACTCATACAGGTTTGGAACAACATGAGGGTTAGAAATGTTTGTTCATTTTTGAGTGAACTATCCCTTAAAATATGGTTGCCTAAAGTAACTGTATGCAGCAAAAGTATTGTAGCCTATTTCAATATGGTTTATTCTTACCACAACCAATCAGTGAGCTTAAATAGTGAATAACCTACACAGCAACAGTTTAATATTTATTTTTCGTTATTTCATTATATATTGAATTATTATATTTATTTAGACATTTTTACATATATTAACACAATTGTTATTTTTATTAATAGTAGGCGGCCCACAGGTTGAAAACCACTGTCCTATATCATATAAAACATAAATGTCTGAAACTCAACAAAAACAGATGCAAACTGTTTCATTAATATACACTACCGTTCAAAAGTTTGGGGTCAGTGAGAATTTTATTTTTATTTTTTGGAGGAAAGAAATCAATACTTTTATTTATCAAGGACAGTAAAGACATTTATAATATTACAAAAGATTCTATTTCAAACAAATGCTGTTCTTTTGAACTTCCTATTCATCAAAGAATCCTAAAAAACAAAAAAACTGTACAACTGACAGACCAACAACTGTTTCAACATTGATAATAATAATAAATGTTTCTTGAGCATCAAATCCTCATATTATACTGATTTGTGAAGGATCATTTGACACTGAAGACACTGACACTGGTGATGCTGAAAATTCAGCTTTGATCACAGGAATAAATTACACTTTACTATATATTCACACAGAAAACAGCTGATTTACACTGGAATAATATTTAATACTATAACTGATTTTTGTTGTATTTTTAATCAAATAAGCGCAGCCATGGTTAGCAGAAGAGAATTCTTTTAAAAGTATTTAAAATCGTACCGACCTCAAACTTTTGAACGGTAGTGTATATATATATATATATATATATAATTTAATATCTTAGGCTTTAAATAGGTTTAAGAAAGTTTCTAAACATACAGCAGGAGAAAATCTGTCTATCAACAAGTAAGTTTGTTATTTTTCTTTTTGCTTTGTTGCTAATTTTTGATCTCTATAGTGCTATAATACACTTTTGGTTTGGCTTTTGTTGTCACTTGCTTTAACTTTACTTTGTAGGCTAGATAAAATCTCAGCCCTTTCCAAACTATTACAGCGATTTGTCCATTTCAGTTCAAACTAGGCTTGGTTTTCTCTTGGGTGTTTGCAGCTGCATGTGATCAACATCATGTTGAACTGCATCATGTGAGCTCAAAGTCCAAAGCACTGTGAAATTATTAACAATACTTTATGACAGATTCAATCTTACCGGAATGGCATCCATGATGACACACAGTTGTTGAGCATGGTGTGCAGAACAAGACAAACAGCACTACCATTTCTAGTGGCTTTTAATATGTGTGCAACATTGGTTATTTTAGGTATGTTTCACTCGACTTCTGACTAGAGTCGAAATCCCTTTTACATTTTCGTTGTTCGTAGTTCACAATCGAGAAACTACATTGCCCGGAGTTCATGTATATTTTCCTCGACGTTGATTGGTTGCGCAAAGACACGCCCCCTCATGGTTGTTCCTTGAACTACAAGTCAAGTTTAACGCAGCCACAAGACGCTCGATATTGTGCAAGTCTCAGCACAGGCTGTCATTTGTGCTTTTATGATGGCATTAAACTGCAGCACATTCAGTCGGCTTATCTCTGGAGCTCAGACCGCGGCTGAGGCCTGCGCACAGCGGGCAGTTCAACAGACATGTGGGAGATACAGAGTGTGTCGAAGAAGGTATTCCAGTGTCACTCCTGAAGAGAACAGACTGGAGCAGGTGTGTGTGTCAGACTCCGACACAACTGCACAGGTAATATATAATACATATCTTAAAAATGCATATTTTAAAACTTAAAAACGTGACATTTAACGTCACAAATGATTATCTGATACACTTGGGTTTGAGATTGTAACTCTTGCATTAGGCTAACATCCCAAATTCTGACTTGCTAATGTCTGTTTTCATGTGACAACAGTTGTACGGTTTGTTGGTTTTGTTGATGTGTGATTTCTGTTACTTTGTTCAGTATACTATATGAGTTGTTTATTTTCTGTTAGCGTAATATAAAGTATTTTAATGTGTCTAAAGTAGCCTAAAAAATATTTGGAAACATAAGTCACATTTAAAAATGAATGATTGTCAAAACAATACATAAAAAAAGATTAAGGCTATCTGACATGCACAAGGTCTCGTGTATGCTTCATAAATGGGTGCTGAACATAACGATTTGAAAGTGTGACACATTATAAATGGTTCTTTCTCTACAACAGTTGGGTCATAAGACCCTCACTAAAGTACCAAACCAGACATATCAGTCATGGATGTAACGTGATATATAACATGAAAAACCGTTATGCATTCTCCCTGGTCATCAAACAGTTTACACAACCCGGTCAATGGCCTACAGAATGAAGAAATAAAGAAGTCTAAATGTCATATTTGTACAATATAACTTGTTTTTCAAAAAGTATAACAGAAATACTCCCTTAATATGGACTTTGCAAAAGCTTGCAAGTTTGTCCAGCTGAGGTAAAAAAAAACAAAAAAACTTATATATAAGGTGTTTGAACACAGATGTGTGTCCACTAAACAACCAGCCTATAATGGTAAAAATCCACCCATTCTCAGGGCTCCAGACTAACTTTTTGCCCTGGTTGCACTGGTGCGCCTAACTTTTTTATTTAGGTGCACCAGCACAAAATTTAGGTGCACTCAAATTTTTCCTCGTCTCGCGTCGCCTTTAACGCCACAATTTCAAGGTCACCTTTTTATCACGTTCCATATATTCATGTATATTATGTAAATGCTTTTAAACAAGAATAAGGTGTAGTTTTTTTTTTAATTTGAAGCACAATTATACTGTATATAAAAATATAAATCTGAAAAAAAAAAAAAAATTAAAGTGCTGTTTTTACATTGTTCAAGTTAGGGCAGGATATTGACACAAATTTCACAATTCGATTCAATATTGATTATATTGGATATCAGGTACAGTACATGGCAAATTTTCTCAAGAAAAACAAATCTCAACTAATGCTGTAAACTGGGAGTCAGTTGTAGCCCACTATGCTTCATTAGCCTACTATAATATTGAAGGTAAAAATTACCTGATTGTACACAAACACCTAAATTACACTTTTTTTTTATAATAATAAAGTTATATGAAATATAAACATTTAAATGGTGGCTGCATAAAAACTTGCCAGATTTTTTTCAAACAACATGCATTAAATATTGAAAAACATAAATTATAATGAATATGTAATATGGTGCATATATTAGGCACAATGCTCCTCTAGAGTTAATTTTTCTAGCTAGTGTTGCGGCAAAAATTCATCTCAAACAAACATCACTGCGTAAGAGACACTCCGAGTCAAATTATATAAAATAGAAGTATTTATTCTTGCAAGAATAGGAGCAGTCTAATACACAGTTGTTACCCTGTGCAGAAGAGTGACACACCCCCAGACAGACTGAACTAGCTTTTATCTTAGTTTCAAGGCCTTCTTCCCCCCAGAGCCTTCCTCCCAGTAGTTTTCCATAGACGTCACTAGTTGGCCCACTAAGCTCCCCTGCACCAAATGGCCTTCTGACATCTAGGTCAGAGGTCCTTGTTCGTCTGTTCTCTGGAGTGTCTCCCTCTTCTGCCTCCCCAGGTACATAAACAGAATCTTCTCTCACTACAAGTGAGAGACACACGTGACATTCTTTGAATCACCTATATTTAACTAAAGATCAATGAATATCATTAAAATTGCCACCACAACTCCTCACTTTTTATCATTCTGATTACCCATAATCACAATAATAAACAAAAAGACAAATTTTAAGTCATATCATCACACTTATACTCTTCATCTCTGATTTTTGCATAAATGATCACTCTCCTTGAACCTGTGAAGAAAAGTTTAGAATGAAGAAGCATAAGGCTGTTTTTGTGGGGGAAAGGCCCCGTAATATTTTAGCAAGCAAGTAAACATTTTTACTGGGCCGGGCTAAACGAGAAATCACTGTTCCTGCGCTCCTGTAAACAGACCCTCAGTCACACCAGTAAGGAGTAAATAGTTATAACACAATAAGGAAACCAACAGAAAAAGTATAATAAAAAATCCCTCAGTTTCAACCCCTGTCCTTGTACGCCATCTCGTAACACGGATGACCGCTGCTTGTAACCTTCTTTAAATCTTTTGCCCTTAATCTTTCTCAGAAAATAAACAAATAGAAGAAAAACAAACAGAACATACATTTAACACATCTCACTGTAGCTCCCGCTACCTGTATCGTCACATAATTTTGTTCATCCTTGGGATAGACTGTCATTTCCACCAATTGAACAGACAGCATGTTTCACCTGCCACTGTAATCGTATTCCCCCATGAATAACAAAATTATTAGAATAACAATCCTAACTCCTATCATTAAGCCTTTTCCATTAATCTACGCCCATCTCCATATTTCACCTCGGTTTTCCTAACCATATTTTGTTCACTTCTAATTCAATTTAGTAAGCTCTATTTAATGCCATATTTAACAAAATCTAACCAGAGAAGTCTTATAATTTTATCCATTCTTCTAACCAATGCAGTTGTTCAATATTAACTCTAATATTTCCATTACGGACACAATCAATATATTTTCTACATTTACAATCAAATCAATACCTAGTTTGATTCAATCAAACAAAATCATCACAAAAACAGATTCTTCTGTTAAACTTAAACCATCAGTTGTGTTGATCATCTCGTTCGCCCCACGGACGTTCCGTGTTCTTTTACCTTTAACCTTTAATTCAAACATACTGTGGTTCTACTTAATAAGCTTCAACAATTATCCCTATAATTTACATTAATTAATAGATCTTCTCTTCCCAAAAACATTTTCCTTAAATATTTCCTAATGAATAAGTAACCAATCAAATCTTTTGATCTAGTGTATATCAATACTAAGCCCTATTTTGATTTAATCAAATAAAATCCTCAAAATAATCACAAAACCACATTCTTAACCCATTAGTTGGTTCACATATTCCTCCAGGCGTGTTGATCATCTCGTTCGCCCCATGGACTATGGGATGGTTGTGGCCTGTTGGTGTAGGTGAGAGGCTTGGACCCAGGTGTCACACTCTCCAACCATTTTCTGATCCTTATAAGGTTTTCCCTTAAATCACGACCGCACCCCCACTGGAGTGAACTGTCACCTGTGAATGGAGACCTTAAGTATTTTGTTAGTGACCGCTTGTCTAGCAGCTCGTCCCCTTTGGTGTGACCTGTGGAATCAACAACCTGAAACATATTATCACCGGATAATTTCTTGCTCATTTAATAGCACTCGGGGTCCTTTTACCCTGAAAAACACTCAACCCACTTTGCTCATGTCCACACAATATTTATACATTTGGAACAGAATTAGTTCTGTTTGATCCAATCCATCCTGACATTCTGTAAAAGGAAAATTTTAAGTTATGCGCTGCGCAGGTGTAGCACCTTTCTGCCACACTAATAACCCAGGCCAGGACAGTTAGCCAAATTCATCCATAACCATTATTTTATTGGCACATTTTGCCCTGTCTCCCAATCCTGCATGCTCTCTGTAAAGAGAAACAAATTTCGAGGTTATTGTCAGATAGTAAAGTACGTAGTTTCTTTTGTCTACTGTTCTCCCGTGGCCTTCGATGCCCTGGCGTTTCCTGTTGAAACAATCTTTGTTATTGGTGTGTGCAGCACACTCACAGACATCCATTTTGTTAGGCAGAAAAATGGCTTCTTTCAGGGCTTTTATCCCATTACCCCTAGTGTTCTCCCAACATTTATTCAGCAAATGTGAACCCCTTAATAAACCATATTTGGCAATTGTTATACCATCTCCCTCTTGATGCACGACACAACTCGAGCATCAATTTAACATAACATTTAACATAGTGTTTTTTATAAAGTTTGCCATCAACACTAACCCAGACATCAATTCCTCCAGACATCTTTCTCTGCCTCTGAAACAAAAATATTACATTCCTCACTTAAAGCCACAATCTCATCTTCTTCTCGAAGTATTTGAAAGGCAACGGCCCTCAGTCTCACAGCGAATCTTGCTTTTAAGGCCTGTTGTTTGGTCTCTCAAGTCAGTCATCTACAAACATTTCCAAAGTCATCAATTTCAGGTCGTGCTGTGCAGACTTGGTCAATGTCAGTCAATCATTTCTCCCCCTTTGTTCACAATAATCATAAATGTGAGGGGCTCTCTTGATAATTTCATGTTGACTTAGCCAATATGTCACTTTGTTGTTTCCCTCAAATCTACAACATTTTCATTTATCTCAGCCCATGCCAGATGGTGATCTACAACTACACAATTCCAATTTACTTAAACTGATCTTCAAATCTACATTATGTATGACAAAAGTATTACTACCAGACAGAGCTTGATGGCCAATCAACTTAAAGCTTGTCCCATGTTCTGTATTGTCTTTTCATCAGAATTATCAGCTTCTTTAAAATTTGTCATTTGCCTTAACCCATCTGTAATGATAAATTCATTCCAGAGGTTAATGACGCAATATACACACCATTCAGGCGGAATATTAGTGCCCCAAACTAATACATACAAGACATAAAGTGCTGTCACCATCACACACACTCATACTAGACACACATATGTTAACTGCTCATTCTCAATGTTCACTTTTCTTTATATTATTGCTTAAAGATTAAAATTTTAAATAAGATTTTAACCTTTCCATTTTCCTGTAGCTTCTACCTAATTTTACATGGTATCTTAACCACTTTCAAAGCACGTCTTGTTCATTATTCATTTGA